GTAGTAGTGTGTGTGTGTGTGTGTGTGTGTGTGTGTGTGTGTGTGTGTGTGTGTGTGGATGGATGGATGGATAGGTGGGTGGGTGGGTGGATGGACGGATGAATGGATGGATGGATGTGTGCGTGCGTGTGTGCGTGCGTTTGCGCGTGTTCTGCGACGCTGTAGTTGCCACAGTGTCGTACAACAAGAGGTGTTCTCACCGGTGGCGTTGGTCTGTCCCTGCGCAAACGGTGTATATCCACTCCACGTGCGATCGAGTATTTTCATACACCTGACCCTGAGTCTGTAGAACGTGAACGGTGTCAGGTTGCCCAAGGACGCGGAGCCGTAGTGTGGTCTTTCAACCCTCACTTCTGTCGTCTGCAGATACGTGAAAAACATTGTTAGTACTTCATCTCCAAGCAGATCTTTTAGAGGCTGCAATACAGTAACAACTTGGCAGAGCAGTATACAATGAAAGCTGGAAACAAGTGTCCAAATAGTATTAGTTTTTGGCTGCATCTAAACATTCTCTGTAAGGCATCGATCGTTGGAAAGTTGTACCAAGTCAACCACGGCACAATCTACGGAAACCTGAGTTATTTCAACCAACATGAAAAACGTCTCTTTTGCTTGCAAAATGCAAACTGACTTTTATTTGCATTCAAGTATTGGTTAAGCCTTGGTGAAAATTAGGTACGACCTTAATACTTGGGGACAGAACATCATGTACAGTGAAACGACACACATGATACCCGCTTGCATTCCTCTAGGTTCGCCTTATGTCTTAGGTAGCTAAATACCATTCATTAATACTATCCACTGACCCTAGCGACGTCGTCCCACTGAGAGAAATACTGGACTGAGCAGATGTAGTCGGTGAAAGGCCGGAGTCCACACTGGGTGATGTTCCAGGTAGCCGTGAGCTGTATGCTGCTGACCGGCCAGACTGCTAATTGCTCTGGGGGAGTCGCCGGAACTGGTACGGAGTAGGGAAACGATGATCATGAAGTGTTATGTTTGCGACAAGAACTTTTTCGTATTCTGCTGTGAATACTATATGTCTCACTCTTATTTTTTTACCGTAGGTTTTTTCCACTTCAAAGTATAATGGCTTGTATGAATTTGAAGGCTCTCCATTCTATACACCAAAAGCATAGAATTCTTTTCCAATTTCAAAGCATATCTAATAGTTTATACTTCGATGAAGGTTAGGCATTCAGGTAATGCCATACTTAAGAAATTGTTACTCGAGCAACTGCCTAGTTCTGAAAAATGTCAGACCAAAGTAGCATTCACTACTTTTCACGTTAACGTTCAAGAGACATATATTGGTGTACTCATAATGATACAATATCCACAGTTAACTATCCACATTAAAATGTGTTACATTGTGTTACAACTATACCTTGTTCAGTGATCGACACAAGGTTCAAAACAATGGTGATGTTGAGGCGACCTTTGAGCATTCTGTCAACATAACGTTAACCCTGATATCATGTGCGTGTGTATTTATGGCAGTCTCCGTTTACAATAGATCGCCCTGTTCGACGTACAAATAAAGTCATGGGACGATCGCATATATGGCTCTAAGTTTTTAGAACTTATAATATAATTTTACCGTTTGATATACAACTCCAAGACGTGCAGGTTTCCGGATCTGGACAGATGTAATTCCGACTGTCCGCCAACACTGAAACATCAAGATGATCAATCGATATCGTTAAGACAATTATTATCTGTTATGATATGACATGAAAAATCGTAATTTATTGATCAGGTGAAATCAATAATGAACTTTGTTTAACTAGTTTTTACTGCAAATTAATGCCCCTGGGAAAATTGCAAGTGAACAAGTGATATATTGTTTGTGATATACATTGTATGCATGCGATACACACGGTGGGAATTGCACTACGTTACTGGTCTATGGTAAGGCTTTAAGATCAATATACTGGCTTGCCGACTTGCCACAACAAAATCCTGCTTTGACTTGCTAAAACCCATTTATAACCCAATGCCACTGATGATGTCCTTCATATATAATACAATATGTAGAAGACAGAATTGCGACACCCCTAAAGGCGTTCCAATGTCTGAAGTTTGCCTCATATGGTGCCACGAGTTTTTATCAAAGGTCGACCAAGTCAGCGTTTAGAAATTGCCCTTAATGACTTGGCGAACCCCTTACATCTCCAATAAGCTAACTAAAACTAAGATGAGACTATGGACACCACGTGACCTTACCTGATAGGATGAAGACGATTTGAAAACCTAAAACTTGGAACAGCGGCGTCATTTTTTACCGTTTTGAGCCGACACAGAACAACATGACGAAATTTCGGACGTGGTGGTGTTCTGTCAAGATAAGAGTGACCCTTGTCATCCTGGGAGCAAACAATAGGCCAGTACAAAGTCGACAGGACAGGTGTTTGTCCTTTTTATAGATCTTGCAAAGTCTACATCGTAAAATAATCAGCTTTATTGTATACCAGCCTACAGTAAACTTCCTCCTTTTCAATTTTTTCGGGTAGACCAGCATAAATTACGCCCACTGATACGTATTTTATTGGACACAATTTATAGCACAAAGCTGCATTAGTTATGGTCATCCTCTTTTTTAATGAATTGACGCGTTCGTAACACTTCGATTTATCAATCTCATATTACACCGGAAGAAAAATATGAAGGAATGAAAAATGAAGAGTATAATTCACCGTGCCCAAATAAAAATATTAACGTTAATGTGTTTGGTAAAAATT